TCGCATCATCTTTTTTCTCTGCACTCTCTGCCGAAGCATTCAATTGTGGTGGAGATTTGCCATCCGTCGCCGCTGCATTCTTGGGCGCTTTCTTGCCTATTTCTTTCTCCTTTGCCTCATCTTTCTTAGGCTTGTCGGGCTGGTCCGGAGGTTGAGTGGCATGACTACGGATCGATTGCCGTACATATAATGGTCGAGGAAAGAAAGAGGCTCTTTGCGGATGGCTGATTACTGTTGATGGCGAGGCTCTTGATTTCTGGAGTCGGGCGACATTGCCGGGGCGCAAGAAGCGTCTCATTGTGTAGGGTGTGATTGAGAGAGACGAGTCGATGTAGTATTATCGAAACGTTCCCAGCATTGTCAGACGTTGTCTTCGCCGATATAACTGGTGGCGGCAAATGGTTGTAATTCCGCTGTCCAGAGTTCACAGAGAGAGGGTCATAGATGGGAGCTCGTGCATGGGCCTCTATTTTCTACTACACTCCGCCGAAGAACGGAATTGACAGATTATCCATCATCTCTCACTTGGTTGACTTTTGTCTCCTGGGTTCAATGCCTCGAGAGTGAGCAGCGCATTCATTACATTGAGACACAAAACATGGAAAAGATATCACGTGCGGTCACCTTCGCAGTGTCAGTACGAGTAATCAAGTCCGTTCTTTTTGAAGGACAATAAGTGAGCTCAAGTTCCCAACCACGAAGCCCAGCAGCTCATTGTGGTGCGTCACGATCCTTCAATTCCAGGCTCTCCGCTCGACCCAGGTCCCAACTCTCCATCTTCTGGGAACCTCCCACAGCCCGCCGAAATCTAGTACTTCTGCGCCGGTCGCCAATCATTATAGCAGTGAGGTATAGCCAGAAGATGACGCTTGACACGACGCAATATGCGACTGTTCTTCTTACTGATACTTGTGACAGTGTTATACCTAATACACAATTGGTCATGTCGGTAGCTTTGTCGTCAGCGCCAATCGATTCAGTACGACCGTGTCTAGTTTGCGTAGATGCTGACGGAGCTGCTATTGCTGAATTACTGCTCAATATTTTTGTTGCATTGCCGGTCTCCGCTCAATGTGGAATGTGCGGAAAATCGCAGTGAACACTGCTGATATAATAAGCTGCATACAGTTGCGGCGGCCGGATTAGACAGGAACGGAGTAAGATCAGTGCCACCCTGGAGTGTGCAATCAAATCAACAGCGCCGTGGCCACTTTCATCGCGCTTGGGAATACTGGCAGATTGACTGTTGGTGTTTACAAGACTACGCTTCTTGTTGCCCCAGATTCGATCCGTGGTCGAGCAGGGGAAGCTCATGCTCCCATAGCGACCCAAGGGACTACTGTAGGAACCTGGCTCGGAGGTTAACGTCTAGCCACGTATGGTAGGTTCATACTTACATTTCATGTTGGCGATCAGTCCTCCATTGGAGACTCCCGAGCCAGCTAGAAGAATTACCTGCGCTGCTGAACTAATTGATGGTGTATTTTGCCCAGAGCTGAAACGAGGCGACAATGTTATGCTTTCATTCATCGGCTGAAACATAAGTTACAATATAAGTTAGCGCCAGACGATCATGTACCTTGGGCAAAAATTCCCCTCCAAGAAATTCAGAAACCAACTACCACGTCGACTCTCTTCAAAACCAGAGATTCTCATGAGTTTAAGTCATGAGCAGCCGGCGGAGCTCTTTCTGAAAGCTGGTAAGATTCTCTCGATATCTCCCCTCGTCCAAATCCAATGATATAGTAAAATAATTTCCCATCCCGAAGTTGGAGGGATGAACTTTGATCATATCAATAGCCGCATCAGGTCTTCCCTTCACCTTTCCAGCTGCTTCAAACCAAGGATAGCAATCCCTGAAAGCCTTTCGAGCAGCTCGTATGGGGGCCGTAAGCTTTTCACGTCCATATGATGTAAAGTAGCCCATAGAACAGTCGATGTCGAGATGCTCAAGGTTCGTAGCAGAGGCAAGTAAAGTCATGGCCGGAAAATTGATGCTACGATGTGCTCTACCGGAGCACCATTCCTTGATGCAAATTTCGCGCAGCATGCTCGTATGCTCTCGCCCTATTTGATTGAGGAACGAAAGCAAAGAGTAGTTGTCGGCGAAATTAATGCGCTGACCATACAAGAATGAGGCAGCTTCCGCGTGTACAGTCTTGGACACTGTCAAAAGGTTTGGAACGAACGAGTTCATGATCCGCGCAGGCGCTTCTTCCTCGTCGTCGCCTCTGTTACCCATATATCTGCGATAGCTTCGATGCCCGCGCGAGAATTGAGGAATGCAGTCGGGCTGTGTGCATCGTTTGGCGATCCGTCGGTATCCTTTCGTCGTGCTGGTGACATACACGTCTCCATCATCGTCAGCTAGTGCGAGAAAATAGATGCGATTGCGAAGTTCGGCAGGCAGATTCCTATTGGATTCAGCATTTCCATTTCACAATAAGAAGAAGCAACATACATGAAGGGGAATATTTTGTGCTTGGGAAGCGGTTTATTTGATTTTCTTCGTCTCTGCCGATCATCAATAAGAGCATCTACCACATGCAAACCTCCGATGCCAGACCTTCGCCTTGGCCTCATACTCCTCTTCTCCATCGCTAGACAGCAGAACATCGTCCTCATCTATCTCAATATACGCTACATGAGAACGTTTCCTCTTCGGGTATCTTGGAGAATCTGTCGTGGAATGATCGCTTAAAGGAGCTTGGAATAAGATAGCTTCCGGTGAATGATCTGTGACAGCAATAGGCAGGCTTCCACTTGACAAGTCTACAGTTCTTGCGGTTGCCGGAGCAGCGGTTTGATGTTGGCTCTCAATCATTCTGCAGAAGACAAAGATAGTGATTGCGCGTGCAGGATTGGTGAAACAGGGTAAATTGTACGAGATGACAAACGAGAAAGCAAATTGGACGCGTCTGATGAAGAAGAAAGTAACGAAAAACGCGCGCAGTCATGTGTATAAGTAGGCCACCTTTTGTCATAGTAGCAGGCAGCACTGCCTCTTAAACTTCCCTTTAAGGATAAATCCTTCAGGCTGCAATGGCGAACCTGTATCTGGGGCGTTGAGGCGTCATCCAAGGATGCTATAGGACGGTGGCGGAGCGCGCAAGTTAGGCAGCATAGATCCAGAATTATCGAAAGAGCATCGAATACGTCGTATCTATATCTTTTATGGTTTGTTGGATGCATTGGAAAGGAGATTCACAGTTCTTGATAGTGCTGCAAGTAGTAAGCAGTTAGAGGCAGAATCGGGCAAGAGTGGAAGAGAACTCGTGCTGGTGTGTAGCGGGGATTCGGGGAAACATCGGAGAATCTCCGCTCGACCTCAACCTTATCTAACATCGTACCTATCTCACATCATGATTCATGTCATGTACTGCAGCAAATAAAGCTATCATCAGACGACCGTCATCAAATTCTCTCAGGTCTTCATCTGAGAAGACGCGGCAACTTCACGATGGCGCTTGCTCATTCTCACAGCGAGCCTACCCTGAAGAGGATGCTAGATACAGCTTCGGAGAGACCTTCCCTTATTCCCTCTCGGCCTTGTCAAAGGGACATCACCAGCGTCAGACTGTCTTGCTCAAGAGCTGGATATTTTCGGAGTGGATGAGGTTGTCAAACACATTGTCAAGACTGTTGGAGACGAGTATGTGTACTTGAGTGTGGACATTGATGTCCTTGAACCTGGTGAGCATCTGCGCTGCCTTTCGGGCGACGAATTCTGATGACGTCGTGGAATTCACACCAGTGTACGACAACAACGCAGAGACCACTGGAATCGTTGTTGCAAATGTCATCTATGAGAACTTGTATTGGATGATCCGCGTGCCAGTACCGCGTGTCTGATCGGCGACAGTAGCACAAGTGTTTGCACACTGATCAGCACCGTTAAACCTATATGCACGTATTCATCTAGCCTAACACGGGGTCATCAAATGCCACCAGCAGCCGCGAAGCTCAAAAAGGTATTGAATAGGACCTATAGCATGACCGCCAGCTAACAGAGGAGCGCAGTGTGCTGACCATGCTCAATTCCATCCTCTAATCAATCAAGCAGTTTTAGTACTCTTTGCTATCCTCGCTCCGTGGAAGGACCCTTGCCACGTGTAGCCTCACATTTCCAAGATTTGTGAGTCAGACAGATCACTACAGATACAACGCTTAAAATGTGTTTTGGCCGAGTCTTTCAATCAGCATTCGTCCCAGACAATACTCACGCACTGGCGTATCTTCCTCTTACAGCAGCATGCTACTCAATCATCGACGGCATACTCAATCTACTGCTCTATTCTCACAACAACAATAATCCTCAATGTCTGAGCGGCCGGTCGTGTACCATGAAAGACGTCGAAGTGGTCCCTAGGGAAGTCGAGACCACTTGTACTCTGTACATCCGGGCTAGTACTTTTCATAATCCTTGGATCTACCCGACCGGGCGCTTTTCCATGCTTCAGGTTCCTCGATCGTACAAATGGCAGGTTTGGCTAAAACGTCTTGGAGAGTTTCGTGTACTGAATTCAACTCAATGCCAATGCCCTCCCGAATAATCGGCCAAACAACTTGATGGGCTTCTGGAAAACATAATTAGTTGTCCATCTTTCAAACAGCTCTTTCAGACTCGATTGTCCGCTGTCAATAGCTGTATAACTTCGAGACCGATAACGATTAATTCCTGATAACTTTGACCATCATGCTCATAGGCATTTAGTGATGTTAGGTAGTACTTAGGGTGTAAAAATCAAGTTCTCAGTCATCTTGCTTGATCTGTGAAGACGGATTCTTACTGCAAACACACTTCACCTTTGCTGAGCATTGTTTATGGCTTGTAGCTTTAAATTGGTGCACGGCGCGTTCCCTATTCTGTGAAGTTTTCGGAAAAGATTGTAAGCTTCTGCCGATAGGCCGCAGAGCATGTGGTGGGCAAGGTCGCGACAATATCTGCAGACTGAACTTATCCATCTACCAGCATCCAAAAAGCAAAATGTCAAAAAGGTCGTACCCGGGTTCGAACCGGGGTTATCGGTATTTTAGGATACAGGCATGACCAGAGATCCTTCTCAAAAACCGATGTGCTCACCACTACACTGCTCAAAGGTTAGATCAGGCGCATTCAAGGAACGATAGCTTAACTAACCTATACAACCTGTGGCTGAAGAAAAATTTCTACATTTACGATGAAGTACTAAAATCAAATTCCCGTCTCCTCGGCGATAGGAAGGCCCCGGCACACGGTCTATCATGCGGGCAGATGAAATGCGCTAAATTACGTAACATCGCCACGCCCGGCTCTTAGACCATTGCAGTTCCTTAAGTCGGTACTGTAATCTGTATCGATGCAGTAAGGAACTTGATAGTGTAGAAGGCTAATACTCACTCAGATACGCGATTGTTCTGAGGGTACCAACGCCCAAAAATCAAACAAAAAGGCTGCTAATAAAAAGGCTGTGAACAAAAAGGCTGCGAACAAAAAGGCTGTGAACACAAAGGCTGCGAACTATGTAACAAACAAGTTCACCGCGTGTAGAATGCTCTGCGTAACTTGGCCTTCAGTTGATGCGTCGAGGCCATCCAGCTGATAGAGACAAGACGTGAACTTTAGAACGGCCATGAAAAAGAAATAAATATGTACCGTAGCTGTTTAAAGAGAGAGACTCACACAATGCAATAAGACAAATGCGAAGCGGAGGATAAGGGTGCCCGCAGCCTTGTGAGCCTTACCACCTCATTAAGCCATGCTTCCAACGTGCGGCGGCGTACGGCCCACGGGCAAGGTAGTCATCTGAATAGATCCCCATTCTCATCCCACCGTGAAAAGGTTTACTAGTATCCAATAATCAGTGCTAATGCGCAGCTGGTGATTTTGGCTCGGCATGATTCATGCAGCGCGGATGATTTAGCGCCACTGAGGCCGCGCAGGGCCCACGGGCACACAGGCATAGAGTTTCTTAACATCCAAATGTTGTTTTTGGGAGCTAAAAAATTCGAGCCTAACGTGGGGAAGCTTGGTCTCGTATACAGTGTTCTATCGATCAAGTTATGAGAGCGTGAGTGGTGATGTAGATGATGCCGTTGTACACACTTGAAATTGGCTGGTTGGAGTCACTCTTGGTAACCAATTTGGGAGGAAATATCCTTGGGCACCTCAGTGTCTGGCCTAAGAGAACATTCTTATCATCCTTCGGAAAAATCAAACTACAAAAGACCTCTGAGCTTCAGTAGTTCTCAGCTCTTGCTGCCTCGAGCGTTGGTTGTCAATAGACCATCCGGACAAGGCTGTGCAGTCACATGACTTTATCCAAGATCGAACGCCCTGGACGCATAACGTTTTCGCAAAAGCAGTCGTTTGAGCGTCAATTCATCAGTATAGACTAGCACTCTACATCGACTTCCCAAGCCACGAATCGATTTCCAATTGCCGTTCTCCCCAGATTGGTGGTGCACGAACCCCGAGGCCGGGAAGACTAGCGAGCGCGACGCGCTAATTTCCGAAAGGTTTTTCCTTATCTTGCATTCTTGACAACCATCAACACCTGAGGAAAATCCGCGAGACCCTTGAATTACCCCTGTTGTAACCAATGAGAATGGACGTCTGACGCGGGAACGGGCCTGGTGTCAACTTGCGCGGTCCCCAGTTGCGTGCCACGGTCTTATCGAGAATGGCCAGCTTTGAAGATCATTGATGGAGTCGATATATATATGGTCTTGGAAACGCCCTCTGCTATGAGGAAACGGAAACGAGCTTCGTGGCCTTCCTTCATTCTCCCTTTCCATCGAGAATCGGATCTACAAAGATTGTCGACTCCATCTCGGCCGAGCCGAAATCCTTCCTACCTTTTGAACTTGAAATCCCTCATTCGACTTTTCGCCAATCATGTCGGACGAAGAATCGAGCAAGGGAGCTCGTTATGATGGTCGTAATGACTCCATAAAGGTCGATCAAAAGACTGGCGGGGAGACTATCGTAGCCGATACGGGCGAAGTTCTTGCTCTCATCGATCCTGTCGCCGAAAGAAAGTTACTATGGAAGTTCGATTTGCGAGTCTTGCCAGTTCTAGCCGTGATGTATCTGTTCAACAGTCTAGACAAGAGGTATAGTCCGCTAGTACTTAGTTGAGGAATTGTTGTTAACGATGCATTAGTAATCTGGGAAATGCAAAAACCGCTGGTCTTGAAAAGGATCTGAAACTTGGCAATCATGGTTACAACATCATTCTGTCTGTTTTCTTCGTGCCGTACGTTCTCACGGCACCTTTCCTTGGCATTATTGGAAAGAAATATGGACCGAACAAGGTATGATTTTGCGTTTGAGATCTCATAGGATTTCACTCACTATCCCAGGTCTTACCTTGCATGATGTTCGCCTTCGGATGCTTCACACTTCTCGTTGCTGTAGTCAAGAACTTCGGTGGACTACTCGCCCTCCGTTGGTTTCTTGGTATGTCAGAATCGGCCTTTTTTCCTTTGGTCATCTATTACCAAACGACCTTCTATCGCCGTGGAGAGCTCGCCAGACGTCTTGCCCTATTCTACGCTGCTCAAAGCATTGCATCCGCATTTGGAGGTCTCCTTTCCTATGGCGTCTTCCAGATTCACTCAGGTTCACTCAAAAACTGGAGATATCTTTTCATCATCGAGGGAAGCTGCACGATCTTGTTTTCAATCTTCTCCTTTTGGTATCTTCCGCATTCGGCTGCCGACGCTTCTTTCCTGAACGAGGACGAGAAGAAATTGGCTTTTTACCGCATGCAAATCGACTCCAGCTCCGTGGTCAACGAGAAATTCGATCTCAAGGAATCTTTCAAGATTTTCAAGCACCCATCCAGCTGGATGATTTTGGCAATTGAGATCTGCCTGGGTGTCCCGCTCCAAAGTGTCACCTTGTTCCTACCTCAGATCGTCTCGAGGCTTGGTTATTCCACTGTTAAGACCAACCTTTATACTGTGGCGCCTAACATTAGTGGGGCAGTCATGCTTTTGATTCTGGCCTTTGCATCCGATTACACGAAGTGGCGTTTCCCTTTTGTCGCGGCTGGCTTTTTGTTCACTTTCATTGGATTCATCATATACGTGTCCATCGACGTGCTTGACCAGAAGCAAGTGGCTTATTTCGCTTGCTTCATGATGACCTGGGTATGTCTGGCACCATCTTTCAATCTGTCGCTCACTTTACTAACAACTCCTAGGGGACCTCAGCACCATCAGTCCTCCTCGATGTCTGGTACAACAACAATATAGCGCATGAAGGCAAACGTGTCGTTCTTACCAGCTTTGGTGTTCCATTGGCCAACCTGATGGGCGTTGTATCTAGCAACATTTTCCAGAACAAGGATGCGCCAAAATATATTCCGGCTCTTGCAACCACCGCCGCCTTCGGTGGTATGGGATTCATTTTGACAATCCTTTTGGGACTTTACATGATTGCGGACAACAAGAAGAGAGATAGACAGCAAGGTGTCAAAATCAAGGTGAGGGACATTCCAACAGAAAAGTTACGGGACGGTCCTGCCGTGAAGGAGTTCCGCTGGTTTTATTAGAATTCTCCGGGCATGGCAAGGGAAGGGAGATCCTAAACGAGTGTGACGGTCGGTTTAATGGAACTGTTTTTGAGCGTATACCCTGGTTGGCTATTGAATGGAGATTTAGGTAGGGACAAGTACACGATGCTGTAGAAACCCGAAGAATGGAAGAAATGTCCACCCGTCTCAATACCTAAGTAGCAGCTCTGTGTCTATCTCACACTCATGCCCATCAACCATCACGAGTCTGATGCCCAAACACGGCGCTCAAACTGCTTGGGATAGTATCCAAACTCTTTATATAGACAATTACGGTTATTCCTTCTTTCACTCGTTAATCGTAAATTTGGAGCCAAAGTGGCACGTGGGCGAAACTTCGCGTCCTTGGTCTCGCAAATCAATACACTTTCCATCCACCGCAACTTTCGACTGGAGAACCCCAATCCTGCAGCCTGACCGGACTTTGCGCCCTAGGACATCCAATTAATAGCCATGTCTAAGTATACGAATCGCAACAATGCGACTGATGGCGAGGCGGAGGGCATCGTCGTCATCTCTCTCTTGCAGCGCCAAATTCGTTCTTAGGGCTCAGAGCTGTCTTTACTCTTGTTCCCACCAGCCAGGTATCTTCTTGTGTCATTCTAGCAGCGTTCAAACCTTCAACGATCATATCGTACGCGTTAAGCAGCCATGGTTCTCGGATTACACGCGCGAAAGCATTCTAGGAATGTTTCTACATCCTCCGCTCATTCAACAGTGAAAGACACGCAGACTCAGGAACGCTACCAGGTCCTGCATTACATCAGGCGTAAGCCTGGCATGTCCAAAGCGCAATTTTACGAACATTGGGAACACGTTCACGCGAGGAAGGTCGCGCTGTGGGCAGAGAAAAGCCAAACAGCCATCAGCTACCACCAAGTATGAAGGCAATCCTCAACGCCCACGTCAAAAGCAATTGCTAACAACTGTACAAACAGGTACACACCTCCGGCTTGGTGATTCCGAACGGTTCCTCTTCCGACTGGGACAGCGATCCTCCTTCCCATGGGGATCTCATCCAACCTGTCAAATTCGACGGCATCGCAATGTGGAAAGTCACCTCCGTCGAACAATTCATGGAAACTATGAAGGACCAATACTACAAAGATGTTGTTGTGGCAGACGAGGCCAATTTCATGGACACGGAGGGGTTTGGGAGAGGCATTGTGGCGCGATTTATTGGTAAGACTGTTGCCATTGTGGAGAATGGGAAGAGCGTTGTTGGCAGTGTTGAGAAAGATCAGATGATGGCATTGGACACTTTGATGAATAAGAAAGACATGGTGCAGTTTCAATATGAGCCGGATATGTAAGGAAGCATTTGATGGTTGCGCAGGTTACCAGGAATGTGCGGCTGATGCGACACAAATTGACCTTACTAGATTAGCGAGGTTCTTGTGTAAAGTATTCTCACATCCACAACCAGCGGTCGATTCCCTGGATCGACCTTACTTCGGGTTTTGGAGCGCGCCAATTGGAAATCAACATTACGAAATTTTATCAAAGGATGAATGAGACTGGCGCGTGGCCGGT